ATGTAGTATTTTCAGATAAAAACTTTGAATTTATCTTTTACTTAAATTCAATACGACAAACTTGTACAGGCTTTCAAATAGAGCATCATCTTCACTTTAACCTGAAATCATTTTGTTCACAAAAAATGTGTTTTTGTTTGCCTTGTGGATCCCCAAGGCTTGTTAAAAATCGGTTTAAAAAAAATCGTTCAAAACTATCGAAATAAAAAGAAACACACTGCTTATGGTAAACTTTGTTCTCCGAATGCCATAGCTTTCTTTGAACTCTTTTGAAAGACAAAAGCAATACAAGCTTAATTTAAAGCACTCAATTGTGGAATTATCTTCAATAAAAAATATGTAGTCCATATAAAAAAAATTAAAAATACACAATAAATGCTTTATGCATATATTAATATAAAAATAGTTGCTAATACAATATTAAATAATTAATATGAGTGAATTATTTAAAAATGTACTTAGTGGTTTAACAGACTTCATGACTTCAACATTTAGTAGTATGATAGTATGATAGTATCTGTTTTAGGCAATAAATGTCAAATTAAAAGAAAGTGTGTCCAGTAAGCATAAACAACATTATATTTTATTTAAAATTTGCAAATAGTGATGTTCAATTAGCATTAAAAAGAAAATGTGGCAACGCTATTTTGCATAATGAACTAAGACAATATAATATCGAGTGCTATGACTTAACTATGATGGTTTAGTTATTCTTGCATGGTCATGGTTACTATTGTTTTGTATTGAGCTAATTGTGGTCAATCATATGTTTTGTATTTTCCTTAAGTAGATGAAATTCAGTGAAAAATCAAATATACCAAATAAATCTTTACCAATAGATCAATATTATTGTTATTATTATTATTTATGACATGGTCTATGACATGAACTTAGTCTATTTACATATACTTTCTAGACACCCCTATTACGTGCTAATGCTCTAAGATCGCAGAATGATTTGTTAGTTTCCCTGTTTATCGATCTTATCCATGTGCTTTTTGGCCGTCCACGATTCCTTCTACCTTGTGGGTTTCATTCTAATGGTTTACGCAGGGTATGTCCCAGCCAGCCATATTTCCGCTTCATTATCTGCTTTTCAATCGGCTGCTGATTTGTAATTTCCCATAGAACCATTACTTATGGTTCTCGGCCACCAAATGTTTAGAATCTGGCAAAGGGATCTTTTAACGCATGTCTGCAGTTTTTGTGAAATCGCGGCTGTAAAAAATCACGATTTAGATCCATATAACAATACACTTTTGAATAGATCAATCAATCAATCAATCAATCCAGTACGTTCACAGGGAAACATTGGGCCATAACGAACTTTTTTCAACTGTCACGATTTTTTGCCAGGATTTAAATTTTTCCAAAGGTTTTTCCGCTTGCTTGGATTTCTTTCTCTAGTGTTCGCTTCCACGTTTGCTTGGACCTACCAGGTCTTCTGCTTTCTTGAGGATTCCATGTTAATGCTTGTTTGCAGATTTCATTTGGTGCCTTCCTCAAAGTGTGTCCGATCTATAGCCATTTACGCTTTTTGATTTCGTTTGCTATAGGAAGTTAGCGGCATCTTGAGCATAGTTCGGAATTTCTAATAGTGCGGGGCCACCAAATTTTCAGAATTCTCCTAAGGTTGGTGGTAAGCCAGGTTTTGCAGCCGTAGAGCAGAACACTCTTAACATTACTGTTTAATAACCGCAGCTTGATGTACTGGAAAAGTATTGAAGAGCTCCAAACTTTATTTAGTAATGAAAAGGCGGTGCATGCCTTGTTAATTCGGCTTTGGATGTGTACTGCCGCGCCACCGTCCGGCGATCAATATAGTTTATATTAATTTAAATATTCGTACATTTTGTAGATTTTTTCTTTCAAATTTTGTGTTTGCTTACTCAAAATCTTAGATATAATCTTCGTTTCACGATTTCAGAGAAATTCGTATTGCTCATACACTGCTTTCATGTGTTGTGGAGCAAACTATAACTCATACCGTAGTTCGGCAGCTAATTTTCACAGATATCGTTACGTATAAACTTACTAAATAATATGGATATCTTAAATTATATTCTTTATAAATATTAATTATTTTTTATCGATAATCTTTCAATTAAAAATAATGATTGCTTTTTGTGATTTTTTTTTAATAAAAAGTAGCGATTATTACTTTTTATTTTTGAGTTTTTCTTTATTTTATTTTTTAGTTTATTTTATTTGTTATTTTTAGGCTTTTTTATTTTATTATTTATTTTAGTTTATTTTTTTATTTTTTTTTTTTTTTTGGCTTTTATTTTTCAAAATTATTTTTAACATTAAATATATTTTTTGATAAAACTTCTACCAAAAATATTTTTTATTTTTACACCATTTTAATTTCAATCAATTGTCTTCTTTTCTCTGCAAGAATTTGTTTTGAATGTTTTTCCATTGCTGTTGTTGGAATGCATATACTCACATGCATAAGTATTAATATCAGAAATCCATACCAAATTGACGGGCATGAATATTTGTTATATGTTATTTAATTAAAATTTTATAAGTTGTTAATTCACAATAAAAAAAAGCAATAAAGACGTATTGTATTGTATACTTTGCATCGTTGAATGTTAGCATTAATTTATGGATTATCTATAAATCAATTCAGGTCTAAACTATTTTTTTTTTTATTAATCTTGCTAAACTATTTTTTTTTATTAATCTTGCTTAAACTGGAGTAAATGTCAAACCACTGATTTTATAGTTTAATAAATATGATATGTAATATTCATCCATTGTATATATCTTAAAACTTGAGAAATTATACCTTTATATCCCATTGTGCTCATAAACTCTTTTCTTTATTAAAAACTTATGTTTTCTATTAAAAGTAGGAAAATGGCTGTGTTTAATTAGTTCACGTCTTTAAAAGTACATTTTCAACATCATAAATATTATAAGAGGGAATGAAAGTAGAACCATTTACTATTAAAATACGCTATATTGAGAACTCAATTTTTATCGGTAATCATTATTATTGAATGTCTAAATAATAATTATCCATTCAATTTCCTTACACTAACGTGAAATTGTTTACTGTTTACTGTTTACTGTTTACTGTTTATTGTTGTTAATGTGCCTTTCAATCAATTTCATTTTCTTACTGTTCCTGCTTCCAGCTTCCTCATTAATCATACATAATTAATTAATTAATTTAGAAATGTTTAATGTTGCTGTTGGGGCACCTAAAAAGCGTAACAAATTGAGTGCTAGAAACTGGGTGCCGAGTTCTGATTGCTAGTGGCTTGACTAATGTTGGTGCCAGAGCAACTATTCTGTCTATATTGTTCGCTGTGCCACTCTATTTTCTTACTTGCTGAGCTGAGCGTCAAACCATTCTAATTGCTTAATTGTTAATTGACTTATTAATTGTTGGCAAAACATTAGTGTCCGGCGGCCTGCTACAGAAATTGTTGTAATTAAGAGCAATTAAAATAACAATAACGTTATTGTTTTAAAATTTATTAAGCGTTAAATAGCTAAATAAATTCCTCTTCTGTTTGCTTTCAACTCTTTCTACTGCATAAAGGAAAAATGAAAATTCAAACTTTGCTCTCTAATTTAACAATCTATTTATTCTTCATTTTAAAAATATATTATTTTATATTTATTCAAGTTAAAAGCTATATAACTTTTATGCGAGTCATTTTAGATGATACTTAGTATTTATTGTTGAAAAGTGCTTCACTACTTCAGTTGATATGGCTCATTTTTAAAATGTACTTGACTTTGCTATTTAGTAAAAAATAAATTACAAAATAGGTGGTTTGCTTAAGGTTCTTCTTATCAGTAGTTGCATCCATACATATACAGCCATAGTCAAAAGTATTTAAACAACGAAAATTTTTGTGCATATTGCACTAAAACACATTTTTGTTGTTGTTGTTGGACGTAAGTCCAACAAGTTTTTCGCGTCAAAACTATTTACACAAAACATTAATTACCATTTATTCTAGGATTTCCTTTAAGTAAGTGCAGTTGTTAGCTTTTGTCACAAACTACACAAATTTAGAGATTTCAAAATTTCAGAAATTATTTAGAAAATGATGAAAACCAAGTAATTATCAGTTGAAATTCGATCTGAGATTGGCAGCTAATATAGGAGTGGCACTTCGGCGACAATTCACTAGAAAGTGAGATATACACTATATACACTAGTATACTATGCCATGCAAAAATTCGTTGTCTGCATGCATTCTTATCAGAACAAAGAAAATGCTAACAGTAAACAATATAAAATTTGGCAGACATAGAGATAAAAATAGATCCTTTGGTTTGGACTTCATTTTTGCATCGTTATTTAGGGGTTTTGTCAAAATACTTAAGCTGGCTAGTGTATATGTATTCGCTCATCGATTTCGTTGATAAGTTTCGTCTTAAATGTTTATTTAAAAACAAAATTCAGTTTAAATTTAAAACATGTTGTTAGTAGAAAAGACAATAAAGTTTTTAATAATAGTGTATCTCAATAATAGTGTATATTCAATGTAAAACCTAATATCTACTTACAATTAGTAAGTAGATAGTACAATTATTGGAATTTTTACCATTTTTATGAATGGAATTTAAAATTTTTATATAATTCCAATTCCACTAATGTTCCTCAAATATATATATATGGTCATGCTCTTAAAGTCGCTAATTCAATAGATTTTCATTTCCGTTGAAGAAATTGTATCGTATTATTGTAATGTCTTGAAGATTGTTACACAAATATAAAATATAATATGAATATAGTAACACTTATTAATGCTAGTTTGTATTTACACTCGCTCTCTCAACCTAACATTGCAGTTATACGGGCGACCAATTTAATGTTCAAAGAACGGTCGGGTGTACGTCCGGAACCCATTATTTTTGTGTATTCATCTATATAACGATATCATCTTTATATGGAATTTATATTTTAAATACATGCTTTGATTTTAGAAAATTAACTAATAAAAATATTAAATTTTTGTGTGTTTTAGGCACGTATCGCAATGTTATTAGGCGAACGAAAATGCCTGGAAAGCCTTAAATCGGATTTAACACGACGCATTAAAATGCTTGAATACGCTCTGCGACAAGAGCGCGCAAAATTTTATCGTTTAAAATATGGTACGGATCCACCACATTTAACAGAAACAAAACCGCCAATCGATGACACTGCGCTGGGTAGCGAAGTGGCGCCCGATTCAGAAGTACCATATAGTTCAGTATCGACTACAACATGGCGACAAGGCAGACAAATGTTGCGACAATATCTAGCCGAGATTGGTTATTCAGATAATATAATTGATGTGCGTTCCAATCGGGTGCGCTCTATATTAGGACTAAATAATAATTCCGAACAAGAAGAAAATGTAAATCCGAATGTTAATGGTAATGAAAGCAATAAACGAGCTTCAGAATCAGAAGGTAAGTAATATATAAAAAAAGAAATTAATATTAAATTGTTTTCAATATACTGAAATAACTAATAAAATAACTTTTAGGCCGACGCACACCAGCTAAGAAATCACAACAAAACGATGCCATAATCTTAGATACTGAAGCCGCGGTGATGGCGAATTTCGAGTTCTTGGGACCATCCGAAATGTCGGACGATGATGAAATATCAGATGATTTGGAAATGGTTGCTGGAGATAATGATGATGCTGATATTAAAACAGCAAAACGTAACAAAAGTAGCAAAGATCTCATTACCGAAGGTAAACCATAAAACTTATAAATAAATAGATATGTAATGTATGCATTTAAAATATATTTATTTATATAACTATATTTTTTTCTATTTATAACTAACTTTATATCCATACTAATCTCTTATTGATACAATAACTTTTTTATATCCTTATTTTTCATATAAATATTTTCCATGTTATGTTGAAATTATAAATTCCATTATGTACGAAATTCGATTTATCGCTATTTTTTCTTTTATTACTAAAATTAAATGTTCGCTGCTTTTACTTATAAATATTTAATTTATTTATTCTTGCTTATTATATAAAGTATTCAAGAACTGTTTATAAATAAACATGCATATAAAATCTCTCTCATGGTATGTTCTCGATTGTAAATATCCCTCATAAATTGAATCATACTAACTTGTTTGCCTTAAGAATACTCGATTTTTAGCAACAGCGTCTCACTTGCTCAACTACTAATCTTATATCGTATTATATAGTATCTTAGAAACATTTAAATTTATTTTTTGTTGCAAAGAATAGCATTAGAAAAATATCGTGCATTTACGAAATGAAATTCAATATTACCTTAAAATACTCGTTTATTAATTAACTACTGTTAATTGTTAATTTAAAACTATTCGTTGGATTTGTAGTCCAAAATTATTTATATAAAAACCAGAAATTAAAGGCTTATAAAAATTTAAAGTTACTTGCTTTTGTTAAAGGCATTTTTTAAATTATTATATTAAAAATTTATATTCAAATCAAAAGAGATATCACAATATTTAAAGAAGACTTCACTTTATTTTGATTGATACTTTATAACTTAATGAGATCCTAATTAAAATTACTGTAAATGAAAAAATTATATTCCATTACTATTATGGTATAAAAATCTTTTCCATTGCTTACATTTTGTCGTCCATTATTCTGCCAATTAAAAGTATCAATGTAATTATTATATAAAGTAATAAACAAAACGTAGTAATATTTAAGAGTGATTATATTATATATCATGGATATTTGTATAAAAAATTGGGAATGTGTTCTCTCTGCCGTAATTCTTTGTCAAAACGATAAATCATCCATGTAATGTAGATTTAGAAAACTTTTCAAGCATTTAATTCATCTTAAAAGTGTGGTCATATGTAACTTTCTAAGTTCACATAGGTAAATGCAACACAATCTATAGTGTTGGATATGACAAAGTGACATATGGACGTACCAGTTCATATGTACACTTTTTGAACTCTTTTAAACTATAACAGGTGTTACTTAAGACATTTAATCTTGTTAAAGTGGTTATCTATTTTAAAATCTGCTAGTAAACCAACAAGTAAGCAAAATGCCTTGAATAGTTCTAGCATCGACTTTTACGTGTTATCGATATCTTCTATATCATATAGAACCATTTAAGGTAAAAGGATATTAAAATTTGCTTACCAAAAATTAATAGTATAATCTTTTATACATTTAGATTATTTAAATTAATATTATAACGTAAACATTTGACTATACTTATTGCTGTCCTTTCTATTTGGTTATAACTGTCGTATAAACTAAGTGGTCAGATGTAGGTACTTGAATTGGAAATGTATTTAACAATATATTCTCCACAAAATTCGTATTAATATATTTATATATATCTTATATATTATTTCTTATAATGGAGTTGATCAGTTCAGATTTGATAAAGTTGTTATGGAATCATATGGTATGTATATGCTTATAAATAAAAGTTTTCCGCTTTGTAACATGTCATCATATAAAACTTAAGTCAAGGTCACTATCAAATTATTGAAAGAATTCATTTAGATATATTCTACGAAATATCTTTTGAAATTCCTAATAAGTTTTTAATTACAGCGTACTTAGGATGTGATAAAGTCAAAACTAACGTTTGATTGATAATTAACTTATAGTCTTGTCATTCTATTCAATGACTTATCAAGCTTATGGAAATCAATTTATATAGAAACTTCAAACAGGAAACAGATATGAATAAAATAGTCATTTAATTTTTGATATATCATTCTGAAAAATGTGTAATATTTTGTTTTTATAACAAATTATGTTCACATAATTAATCAGTTACTACTCTTTATAAGTTGTAATTTTTATACTTAAAATATCTCAAATGGTAGAGCTATTTAACTCTTAGTCACTTTCGTAGATATATTTATTAAATAAATTTATTATAAATTGCTTTATTACTGATAACAATATGCAGTGCTATGCATGTAATAATATATGTCATACATATTTATATGTTAAGTACTAACATATATGTTATTGTTATTGTTATTGTTAATTTTATTGGACCATACTAACAAATAAAAATTTAATGTGAATTCCATATTAAATATTATATATTGCCATGAATAAGATTAAATTCATTGTTTACTTTGTGGATCTTCGATTTGAATATGGAACTTACAATTTTGTGTTTAATTTTCATGTGCAGTTTAAATATAAGTTTTACAATAATTATTGCGTTAATTTTATAATTCAAATTGTATTTATAAAAAAGTTATAAAAATACAATTTCTAATGGTTTTTAATGAATAAATCCTTATATATGTTAGATGTATCGAGTAGTTAGAATTTCGTATATTCTAACTTGATTTATAATTCTTTTCTGATATATTTTTTAATGGAAATCTGCTTAACTAAATGTTACGAATAAAGATGTAAAGATCATAATGTACATTAATAAGTCACAATTAGCAAATCAAATATTTTAACAAAATTCACAATATGTTAAAATATATTCATACCTCTAAAAAGATATACACATTTTTTCGCAAGACGGGAAAAAGGGAAACAAAACTGAAAAATAGACAAATAAGTTTAAATGATATAGGGGAACATAAAAATTGGGTGTAGAGATATGTGCGGGAAGGTGCAACAAGATAGTCGAAAAGTTGATCAAAAATGGATTATTTATATTCGGTATTCAAGTTTTTTTGCGTTCTAGTTTATAATGATATAAACATTAAAGATGTTTAGATAAAGAAATCAGTACTACATTGATACAGCTTGTACCAACAACTGATTTAAATATATTAATATTCAATAGAAAATTTTTTTAGACGCAACAATATGGACATATTTAATACATACTTATCAAGTTTTTTTACTTCTATTAATTGTGTGGTCCAAACCCTTGTTGGCCATGGTAGTCATATATTTTTAGTATACTCGTAAATAAATTAAAATGCCACATGATATGCCTAAAAAAAATCCATAAAAATATACTGTACAAACTACAGGAAATGTAATTTTTTTTTAGATTAGTAATACTTCAATGTGGTACTCAACAACAAGTATTTAGATTCATAAGAACAGTAATCGTCCGAATACCTCATTTCGCGAATGTACAACCTAACGAACTATAAAATTCTGTCCACAACATTTTACATAACGAATTAATCGTGACATTCGTAACATAAAGTAGACAATGAATTAAGGAATACTGTAAGAACAAACCTCATATAAAAGAAAACCTTTCGCTGATATAGGTAACAAGTAATTAGTTCTGTACAGTGAATTAAATAAAGTAATAATTTCACAACACCTAGAAGAGGAAACGTTCTAGAAGAGTAAATCAACTCAACAGAGAACATCAAGAAATAGTAACTACTTAAAATTTTATTTCTTTGTTTAACGAATTAGCCGGGTAAGAAATCTATCGTTCAATTAGCTAATTGATAATAGTCCATAATTTTATTATTACCATATCATTAATAATGTATGCCTATGTATTCTATAATAACCAAACCTTTATCAGAAATGAATTTATAAAAATTTGTCTAAAATGTATTGTACTATAAGTATTTATTTTAAATTTTTATTTGTTGTGATTTCCGTTTGGTAAATTATTTTGTGTTTTTGTGTTTTTCTTTTTCCAAAGATCTCGATGCCGAGGTTGGGGAGCAGCTTCTCAATGATATAAATCTAATTACTGAAGGTGCTTATTATTGTTATCATTAGAATTTTATTTATAACTAAAACATTTTTAAATATTTTGACTAAATATATGACTAATTTTATTGTTTTAAATTAATTCTCTATAAATGTTTATATATATAAATGTATATATATATATATATATATGTACATTGTAGATACAATATACAATACGATTATATATACAATTATAATTTAAATCCAATTTCTTTCAAAATGTATGAATTTGCACATATTCATAAACGCATGAAAAATGATCAATTCACTAATCTACAATTAATAATATAAAAAAACATTTCTTTATAAATACATAAATATTACGGTGTAATGATGTGTCTGTGATATTATAAAATCACACCATTTGCGTACTGAATTTTATAAATAGATACATATTTGTACCTCTATGTTTACTTTTGATTTAATTCAAAGTTTTATCAACATACTTAATTAACCTAAGATAAATATGATCTTTGATATCGTATTTTCACTTATACATTGCAAATATTTCATTCAAATCTACTCACTACTTATTAGTATTTTAAATTTTTTACATCCTTCAATTTTATTATTATACTCACAAAATTGCAGTATTTTGAATTTATATATATAGTTATAGTTATAAAAGTTATATATATTGGAACATATTATTTAAATGCATTAGTATAACCATCTAGTGTATAGGTGTATTATCACTGAAAATCTTTAAAATATTTGTACTATTTAAATAAATTTATTTTAATTTTATTTATTTCGGTGCACGTTATAAATTATTGCATACCTAATTATTAAATTACTTATTTTGTATTGGTTTATAAGAAATATTTTATATACAGCTTCATTATTTATTCATTACAAAAATTATATGCACTAACTATTTTTTCTGTTTTCTTTTTCTTCAATGTGTCCTAAACAAATCTACAAAATCTACAAATTACTGAATGTGTTGCAAAAACAACAATTTTTACGTGTTTCTTGGATTTTGGATGGATTTTATACATAAAACAATTGCTTTTCGATTGCTTTAATTTCGTTTGACGTTTGGCGGTTGGCGTTTATAAAAAACTTAAATCATTTAACATCGACATTACCGTACATATACTACACCATACCACACCACACCACACCACACCACATGTTAACAATGATACACTTAACCTTATAACCTCATTCCTAAGGATACTCATCATCAAATACTGAACAAACCAACAATAATACAAATACAGCTGCCTCAGCTGCTGCCCGTAGAAATTTAATTACTGCTGTTACAGCTGGAGGTGATGAAGAAGTAGATGCCTCGTTGGGTCTTGGCGAATTAGCTCAGCTGACGGTTAATAATGAAGCCGAAAATTCATATGATGCCAATACAAAAGATGGGACAGGCAGTGGTACTGGCGGTGCTGGTTATCGTAAGACTTGGAATGCCAAGTACACATTACGTTCACATTTTGATGGTGTTCGTGCATTGATTTTTCATCCTGAAGAGCCAGTACTGATCACTGCATCCGAAGATCATACATTAAAACTGTGGAATCTGCAGAAAACGGTGCAAGCCAAAAAATCAGCTAGTCTCGACGTTGAACCATTATATACTTTCCGTGCGCATACTGGTCCTGTTCTCTGTCTGGGTATGTCAACTAACGGTGATACCTGCTATTCAGGCGGTTTGGACGGTAATATCGAATGCTGGCAACTGCCATCGCCTAACATCGATCCTTATGACTGTTACGATCCCAGCGTACATTCAGGTACACTTGAAGGTCACACTGATAGTGTCTGGGGCCTAGCGACTAGACACAGTAATATAGCATCCTGTTCTGCCGATGGTACTGTCAAACTTTGGTCACCCTATGCCAAGGAGCAGCTATTACGTACTTATACAGCTGCAGAAACTGAAGGTATACCTTCATCAGTTGATTTTGTGCGCAATGAAGTCGATCATATCGTTGTGGCATATAATAGCGCCCATTGTATTATTTACGATACAGAAACAGGCAAGCAAATTATAAAACTTGAGGCAGCGCAAGAAATGTCTGGTAATACGGGGAAATTCATCAACAAAGTAGTTTCTCATCCGACTCTACCAATAACAATAACAGCACACGAAGATAGGCACATACGATTTTGGGATAATACCTCAGGGACATTGGTGCATTCAATGGTGGCTCATTTAGAGCCTGTAACGTCTTTGGCTGTTGATGCGCATGGATTATATTTATTGTCGGGCTCACATGATTGCTCGATAAGACTATGGAATCTGGACAATAAAACATGTGTACAGGAGATTACAGCGCATCGTAAGAAGTTCGATGAAAGTATATTCGATGTGGCCTTCCATGCCACAAAACCATATATCGCCAGCGCTGGTGCGGATGGCTTGGCAAAAGTATTCGTTTAAAACTGATATTTTCTATTCTTAATATTATTAATTATATTTCAATAATTTCATTGCGAAAGCAACGATAATGGACGACGTAGTAGATTGTTACATAGGATGAAGTATAAATACCGAAATATAGTAGTGTGAACAAAACAAAATAAAACAAAATAAAACAGCATAGACAAGTGGTAGAAACATAATAATTAATTATTAATATTTAATAAAATTACAAATATATATAAATAAATATTATTAAATAAAACAACAACAACTAAAAACGACAGAATATTAATTAATATTATTATATAATTATAAACAAAACGTACATTAAAAAGAAATGAAACATTAAATAAAATTGTATTCATCTAAAATACAAAGGAAACATTACTGAAAAATGTAAGACCACAAACGCAAATACACCAACAAAACAATTTTAAAAATATTTAATTTAAAAATTAAATTCATTCAATATAGTAAATTTAATAGTAACGCATATATTAAAAAAGAATATATATATTATAAGAAAATTAGAGTATTTATAAAATCATATTCAGACAATTCAGAAAAAAGTACATGTCAAATGTTTAGAAAATGATATATTCAATATTTAAAATAAGTTTTTAGTTTTGAAATTTTGAAATTCTATTTGAATATGTAAATAATTTTTCAATTAGTATGAATTTTTCATACTAATATGTTAAATAAAATATTATCACGTTTAAAATATATTTTTTTGAATATTCCCATATTGAAATTCAATTTTTTTCTGTTGTTATATTTAGTAACTTTTAGTAACAAATTTTACTGTCTATATAGAGTTAAATAAACAATTTCAGGCTTATCTGTATAATTCTGGTTTTGTTTTACTTAACTAATACAATTCACATGTTTTGTTGTGATATTAATAATTATTAACATTTTTATGCAATAATTATTTTAATTATTATGTTTTTTTTTGTTTCTGCAAACTTGTGTTTTGATATGTATTATTTTTTAATTATTTATTATTTTGTTATTAATTTTGCTGTTTAATTTATTTTTGTCTCGGCAGTTAACGTATCCAATAATATTTTCTTTTATTTCTAAAACTTATTTACTAATTGTTGTGCAAATACCCAAGCCGTTTTTATAGACAAGATAGATAAGTTCTTTAGAAATGCGTCTTTAAAACCCTCAATGTCGTCTACTAAAGAAATTAAATTATTAGATATTGTGAATAACCGCAAGTTCAAATTTATCAAAAATTGAATTTAAAATATTTAATTAATTAAGATTGAAATTTGGCAATACAAATTGCACATTTTTATTTTTATTTTTATTTAAATTTATAATAAATGAAAATAAATTTCAATGCATACATTACGTACTACCATTAGTATCAGTTGTAGTGATATATTTTACTTGTGGGCCACAGTATCAGGAATATTTTTTTTTACATTTACTTACATTCATGCCTACATATACAAGCGCACATACATTTCAACAACAGTATATAAAAAAATTGTCCACAACTCCATTTACTAAAGTAATTTTATCAAATATTGAAAACGTTCTCATTACTTATAAGTGGACTTATTATCTTATTGACATACCCTTCACACAAAAAATTTTCTTTTAAATCATAATTATAAATTTATAAAATTTCAATTTTTATTAATTCACTTAAACGGAATATAGTTTACTATACAGTGTACTCTTTACTCTAGTACAAAGGTAACATCACTTTTTGTGCATAGTTTTTGCATTTGCATAATTGCAAAAAGCAACAACCGAAATCTTCTGTAATAAATGGTAGCTATGGAGGATATGATATTGACAATAACTGAAAAAGCATTTCCACAGATAAATAAGTTGTGTACGATTTAAAAGCGAATTAACACTTCAGGACGGAATAGTAGTTTTCAAATACTATAGGTTTATCTCAGCTTATTGGGACGAAAATTGGTAACCATTGATACCACTTTTAACTTTCTTATTAAACCATAAATTTCATTTTTATGCAAACAATTCTGACGTTGGGTATAAATACATATAATAGTAACATAAGTAATAAATAAATCTAACATTGATTACGACTTCTATAACTACAAAATAGGTCTCACTTCGGTTTTGGTGTCCATTATAGTAATAGTTGCTTTTTATATTAAATTTCATTAGCTATTCTGTCTGCAAAGAACAGGAAACTGCAAATAAAGTCTTTAATGATGAAAACCTTTAATGTAATAATTATATACACTATTTGCATGTTTATGTGCATATTTTTTAATACTCGATTTATCCAAATATTATATACAGTAAAAATATTCTGAATATATCATTTTTTAAATTTTTATTTCATTATTTATACTACAAAATGTTGACATTAATATGAAAGTTTATATGAGACATTACAAATATAAAAAACAAAAAATATGTAAGCAATTTTAACATAAATAATATGAGATATTTTTTAATTTTAATTTAATTGAACTCAAAATAATTTAACATTAATTTGTTTATATACTCGTAGCTTTTTTAATAAGTTAAAAAATTATGAAAATGCAAAAAACAAAACTGCAAAATATGTTTAAAAGCAAAATGCAATAAAACCAAGAAAATAAAAACGATATGAAAATATAATATTAATGAAAGAATTATATTATAACGACTATACCTTTTATTACTAAAACCCTTATATATATACAATTTTATCGTATATGTATATACATATATATTTTATAAACATATATATATATAATATAAAATCGTATATGTATATATATATATTTCATATATATATATATATAATATACAATTTGATCGTATATGTATCTATATATTTTTTATATATATATAAATAATATACAATTTTATCGTAATATGTATACATATATATCTATATATATATATATATAGCAGTAGCGAGGCGTCAGCTTTTTGACAAGGTGTTCACAATTTAATCAAAACAGAATTCCAACTATAACGTATTCCCCCTACTTTTAAGTTTTGTCCTTTCCACAAGCAAATAGCGTACAAGACCAACAAAACAATTTATTTAAATGTTCGCAGCCTGTGATCCACTGGTTTTAATTTACCATAAAGCTGTAGCTGTAGGAAAACGACGACTTACCATAGATTTCGACATTTTTACAACAGGTATCAAATTCTTCATATCTGGAGTTGGTTTATTCATTTTATGAATTAAAATCTTTTTTTCAGAAGATCGTTTAAAAAAAGACATTGAATCAAATCTTTAATCACACATTTATCCATTTCTAAATATTATTTTTCACTTATTTTTCTTTAATCTCTTTCTTTACTTTTACCATTTTCTAGTATAAAATTGCAATAATGACTTTGTTTTGATTTATTTCCACCCTCTATATAAGAGTAAGAAACTCTCATTTACTCTTCATTTACTCTTTTACTTTGTATTTACAATGCCCGGTTCAGTTTTTATACTGAACCATTTCCCCATATAAAACAGCAACCGTGACTTTGATTGTATTTGCACGCTTTGTATAAACTTTTGGTTCAGTTTAGTGGAATGATCCTCTCGTCAAATGTAAAGCGATTTTCGCTCAGTCATTTCTTTTCTCTTTTGTATTTACTTTGCATAACATTGGAAGTGCACTTTTTTTATTGAACTGCTTGCACGCATTAATTTAAGAGTTATGATTATTTTGTTTTTGTTTTCTCTTTTATTTTTATATTTCTTTGTATGTTTTGTGTTGTGTATTCAATATTGAACATAGTCCCAATGTGAATGTTATTTCATTTGCATGCTTTTTAAGCGACGCAGTGCAGTTTTTATTCTGAACCTTAGTATATTTCAAGAGGAATGTTATTTCTCTTTTATTAATTATAAGCAATGTTGGGTGTATCTAACATATGTGTGATTTTGTTTGTATTCTACGTTTTGTGCTTATGTTAATCTGTTTGGAAAAGCTATTATAAAAAATGTTAAGTAGCAATATAGCGAGATTATTTACCTAATACAAAAAAATCTAAAAAGGAAGCTTTGTTAAGGTGTTCAGTGAACACTCTGAACCATTCGACGCCTCGCCTCTGATATATAGTATATATATATATATATATGTATATATAATATATTTGTAAGCAAATATATCTTATAAATGAGAACAATTATCTGTATTTATAAATTTTATTTTTACAAAATCCGTTTTTATATATAAAAAAGAAAACTGTGCTAAAGTCTTAAATGCATCTTAAAGCTAAACATTAAATTGCATAGAAAAACATTTACATTATATAAATAAAATTAAATTATATATAATACACTTTATTTATATACATATGATTATAAATAATAAGAATTGTATATTATTATTAATACCATATTCAAAACTATAATTAATTCAAGAAAAAGAAAAAACAATGCTTAAAAATAACAACTAAGGATTAATATCACACTGTAGCCTTTGCCCGTCTGCCTATTCAAATTTATATGCATATGTATATATAAGGTAAGGCTCTCCGTAACTAAATAGTAATAGCTTATGAATATATATGTATATAAATATACATCTATATTAATATATATATTTATATAAAAATAAGCTGTTTTAGTGTGTTAATACTATGAGATCGACACAATTTAATTTAAAGCAAATTCAATACGATTTACTTTTTTTTAGTTTATTTATTATATATATGTATATGTATATATATAATTTGAGTTGAGTTACCTTTTTTAATTGCATATAAAAAAGAAAACTTGTATAGATTTTGCTAATGTGACAATTATAATACTACAACAAATTATTATAATTTTTATTTGATATAAATTTTTTAATATGTATTTTTTAATACAAATATTTTTTTTTAAATATAAACATAAATAATGTATGAACTTAATTTTCTTTTATTTTATTTTATAAAGAATTTTGTTTTTATTTAAATAATTTTTTGATATATCCTAAATTTTTTTTATATACTAGTTTTCACATATGTGTTAAGCAATAGCCGCCTTGCAATATTGCATATTGTATTAGTAATAAGAGGTAACGTAAATAATAATTGGACTTCGTAGATGTCTACTCTGTATACTTATTTACTTAGTTGGCAATTACAGACGTAAGTGGTCGTTGGTCGCGTCAAGTAGCCTCCGCCAGCTAGTCCGATTAGTTGCTTGCTGACGCCAGTTGGTAGTATCATGCGGCCTCAAATCGTTGGCCACTTGGTCCTTGCACTGAAGATGCAG